AAGCCTTTTACAATATCAGTTTGAAGGTATTCATAAATTAGATTATTAAAAACTACTCATTACTTTCTTAATATTTGATTCATTTTTTTGGTGTCCCTTGAAAAATGGGGAAACAGTTTCAACTTGATTTAATCTTACATTTAGTATGAGCAATATTATGTAATGATGTAAAATGTCAATATATTTTCAAATGAAATACTTATTTATACAACATATCATCACTTCCCACACCCCTAATAGTTTCTATATAAATTTACTTTAAAGTTGAAATTCAATCTAATAATTGGCATTAATAAAATTCTCTAAATCTAAGTTATTTAAGCTTTTCCTTTATATATGTATTTCTTGATCTCTAGCTTTTACAAGGGCCAAGCAATGCTATTGTCTTTCTTTTTCAACCAATATTATAATGGGAGGTCTTTATATTAAATATTCAATATTTGTAATAATCCGTTTTGAATGCATAAGTATTTTATTAATTAAAAAAATGAGAATGCATGCCCTGTTTGTGCTGTTGATGTACGCAGCAGCATTGAATTTCGAGGCATCTTTGATGTCACATACATTAGCAGAAGTAGATGCGTTGGACACTTCGCAATTGAATTGTCAAACTCCTCGATCACACTTCGACGAGTTGGAGTAAACCTTGACTCAATGGTAGAATGTTTTGGAGAATAAGGAACGCATTCCTTCACACATTGAAACATTAACTGAAATGAAACACTTAATTAAACACAAAAAGTATTAGTAGCTGGTTGATAAGATCAAAGACTTGGATCTCATATCCCCACCAGTGCTTTCTGAATTATAAAACAAATTACAAGGATTGCAATCTCATGGTAACAAGTTTTAATTAATAATTAAGATAAACATGAAAGAGAAGAATGCACAGAAACATTAACAAAATTGTGTGCTTATCTTATTAAATAAATGAATAATGTTCACTAACAATGCTAGCAATCACCAGTCACAGTCATTAAAGTCAAAGGTAAGATCGAAGATCTCAAGATTATTCAATCTGGATGTTAATAAGCATGCTAGCCAACATGTCCAGATGAACCTGTGCCAGAAGTTCCTTCAGAACTCCCAAGTGAGGAATTCGGTGAAGAGCCAGTAGAAGAAGGTGTTCCTCCAACAACTCCTGATGATGAACCAACTCCAGATGATAAACCCACTCCTGATGATGAACCTACTCCAGATGATAAACCAACCCCAGATGAACCTGTAGTACCTTAAGATGAGGAAGGTCCAACTGATGAACCACCTGTTAATCCAAATACCGAAGAATCACCTGATTAACCAATAGTGGCAGAAGAGGGAACAGAAGAATGGACTATTCCAGGAGAAGAACCAGAAGTACCAATAGCAGTACCAACTACACCTGATTAACCAGAAGAAGATCAAGAAGAATCTTCAAATCCACCTGTCTCCCCTGATCCTCTAGTATTCCCACCAGAAGAAGAAGAATCATTTGGTTTTGAAGAAACCCCTCTTCCACCAGTTTCTCCTGATCCTTTAGTTTTCCCACCAGAAGAAGAAGAAATCATTCGGGTTTTGAAGAAACCCCCCCTTCCACCTGTTACTCCTGATGCTTTAGTATTTCCAGAGGAAGAGGAAGAATCATTCGGTTTTGAAGAAACACCCCTTCCACCTGTTACTCATGATCCTTTAGTGTTCCCAGAGGAAGAAGAAGAATCATTTGGTTTTGAAGAAACACCACATCCACGTATTTCTCCTTTGCGTTTTCCATTCTCAGAAGAACATGAAGAGATCGTATTTGAAGAAGAACAAGAAGAATAAGATCCAATTATTTGCCAATCATCTGAATCTACAGATATTATAGAATTGACAGCTACTTAGGTTGACCCTGGATTTAGTAGCACACTTACAATTGCAGGCGAATATGGTTTTGGTTTATACTTCTAAAGATTGTAAAAATATCCAGCCTTTGCTGAGGGTGATGAATTCCATTTAGCCAGTTTATAAGATAATGGAAACACAGTTTTGGGAGTATTTGTAACTAATACAGGTGTTAAATGTGTTACTGTTGATGGATCTACACATTAATCTACATCTGTATCCAATAGTGACTTTGAAGGTGAATGGAGCTTTGTATTCATCAGTCATGGTTAAGGAGTTACTGGATGTGCAGTCAAGTTCTTTGAAGAATTACCAGCATTGAGATCAACTCCTGCTTCCCATCCAACTTACACTAGTTTAGACTTCAAGGTTGGTGGACCATAAGATTCTCATCCATCATTCTAAGGAAAAGTATATGGACAGTTTGCATCTTCAGTATCAAATCTACACTTCAACAGTTAAAGATAATATAATTTACTTGTTGATTCATGCAATAGTCCACCTGAAGTAGAACTTTGTGAATTATATACTGATGAATTAGGAGATTATCAATTCTATGGATTTGAGGATACATCTGATGAAATATTTGAGTTTTCAACTTGGGATGCTGGTTACGCTGTTTCTGGTTGGTTGAAATGGGAAACCTTAGAAGATCAAGATGTTTGGCACACTGTCTTCAGATTATCTGAAAATGCAGATGCTGATTTGGAAGAGATTAAATTAGGAGACAGAGATTTGGCTGTCTTTCTTGGTAGTGGATTGGTTGGACGGTGTATTTTCAATTTTCTACTTACACATATTCAGGATCTGGTAATCCTAATTTATGGGATAATGTTTAATATACAAATACATTGGGTTAATGGCATCATATTTACTTTGGATACAACAGACTTTAAAGAATGGCTCATTTTACACTTTATTTAATGGAAGAACAATTGATTGGAGCAAATTAATTTTATGATGCCCGCCATTATCTTGTTCCTTGGAGGAGACTTTATATTGGTAATGATGGTTTATACCCTGCTTTCAATGGGTAATTCTATAATTGGCGAGTCAATCGTTGTATTGGTGACGCTGCTCGTGATGTTGTACTGACACCAGATGATATCCCTTTTGGATATAATCCTCAACCTGTAATTCCTGAAAGTCGTGCAGCTCCATAAATTGAAACTTTTGCATCTCCTGAAGAAGAACAACCATATTGGGGAGAAGAAGAATAAGAATTTGTTCCTGTTACACCAGATGCAGTTCCAAATGTTTTACCTGAAGAAGAACAACCATATTGGCCAGAAGAAGAGGAAGAGTTTGTTCCTCCTGCTCAAACATTTGCATCCCCTGAAGAAGAACAACCATATTGGGGAGAGGAAGAATAAGAATTCGTCCCACCACCTGTAAGTCCTCCAGTTATTCCTGATGAAATTTAACCAGAACCATTACCTGAGCCTGAACCATAACCAGAACCTGAAGCTGCTCCTGCTCCTTCACCTAAACCAGCTCCAGGACCAGCTCCTCCTTCTGAACCATAAGTTCCAGTTGTCAAAGAGTATTAAATATTTGCCTATGTATTTTTAGATGTGAAGCAACAATTGATGTCACTAAAGAAAATGCTGCAGATATTTTATGTGCTAATTCTGAGTATTTAGCTTAATTAGCTTCTGGCCATG